CACATACAGTACATGGGTACAGCGTCGGGAGCTCGGAATTTACACAGTCCACGAAGGCACACTTCGTGAGGGTACTGCAGACTTGGTTTGCTTCTTGGTCAGGTAGAAACTTGGAAAATGGGTGTCGAAGCTTCACGGCAACCACCAGGATTCGCTATACAAAAGTTTCAATGCCACAGCAGCTCTTGTGTGACCGCAGAGCCTCCACCAGCACAAATAGCCCCGCATCGTGCTACTTTGACATCCACCAGGGCATGAACTCGATGTGAAGTGTGGAAACTAGGGGAACCCGCACGCTATGAAGACCGCAGGTTCTTGTCTTTCGCCAAGACACCACCCACAGCGGTGGTCTAAAGCGGAAGTGGGCAGGTGCGTTTCTGGATTTCAAGCAGTAGAAAAAAGTACTTTTCTAGCTTTAAGATTGATTACTGTCTACTGGAACAACAGTAACTTAGATTTTTTTTCAAATTACTGTTTGTTCCAGTAAAAGTACTATTGCTGTAGTACTTTTTTCTACTGGTTGGCGGATTACATTCAACCTCTGGTGAGGGTTCATACGTTCTTTATTATTATCAATTCAAGCAAGTATAAATGAAGATAGTTTCAGAAATTTACTGAGAGGAGGCACTCGTCCAAATTGCTACGCGTACAAAGTATCTTCAAGCGAGAGTTAGAGTTTGATGACATACGACATCTGCCCTGTCGATCAAATTTAAATTAGAAGAGCGAATGATAGCTTGGGCACTAGCGCGAACTTGAACGTAAAACAAATACTATTTAATTTACGTTCGAAGAAGCTCCTTCGAAGAGCTGATCGCGATCCTGGCTCTTTTATCCTGCATATGGACGCTACCTACAAGCTCACACATGTTGGCTATCCGAGGTGGTCGTCGGCATTTCCGGCAGAGCGAGGCACTTTCACCGCATGGCAGTTTTCATTGTGTTCTAGCAGCAACAGCAGCATCACTCTGATATACTGGGTCTACTCCGACGAGTCTACGCGGCTGTCAGTGGGAAGTCGCTTCATGTTCGTATTGGGATAGATGTTGCAGCCCAGTGGAACGCACTGCAGGAAGTGTTCAGCCCGGACAACCATTTTACATTCCTCATGTGCAACTGTAATGTGGCATAGAAGATTTACGAAAAGACACGGTCTATGGCCCATGAGACCGCTATCCTAGTGATGTGACATTTACACGAGCTTCACTTCACGACGAGCGAACAAGCGTTTCACAAACAGTTTGCAGTTATTCGGGGGAAGTAGGCACAACTACCTGAGTTGGCGTGCTTTTCAAGCTATTTCTCGAAGACCTGGTTAGACAAACGTTTCTGGAGGTGGCCGTCTTTCCATTTTCCAAGTGGCTACGCTACTATAAACAGCCCGTGCCAGACGTTCAATGCTGCCATCAATGTTACGCTTCGTAGGAAACTCAAAGTTGGGGCGTTGCTCCCACACATTATGACACTTTGCGCAAGTGAAGGCACAATGGCGAGAACGTTCGAAACGACAGCTGTGTCGGATCTCTTGCTATATTTAGTAAAGTTACCTCACGTCTGTTTTGACTTCTTGTGACTGCGAACCTCTTGCATTCTCTCCTTCATAGTAGTCTTCCTTTGGCGGTGTTTTGCCCATTTCGCTGTAGCAAGTCTACTTGCTTTGGCCGTCTCCGCTGAGAGTTCGAGTGAGGCAATCAATTTCTTCTTTTCTTCTTTGAAAAATTCAACAAACCGCACGTTGCCATTCATAGTGCAGTATGCTGATAGCAAAGACTTCCACGCCTCCTCCGAGCCGCGTCTGGACCCCGACGCAGTCTTGGTCGCGTAACGAAAAGCGTCAAGCTTGTCTTCTACGCGAACGATAGCATTCCCGAATTTAGCGCCCGCTTGTCCTCATCCTTGGTATCAGGTAGATATGCGAGTAGGACGGAATGGTGAACGAGATTGTTCACGTAAACGGCGTCACCAGGTCGTTGGACAAGCACATCTGAAGTGCTACAGTCCAACATTCTCTTAAACGAGTCCGTCTTGTTTCTCCACTTGAATATCTCGGTTGTCTGCTATGGGAAAAATACTCAGATCTTGAAGCATCGCTTAGCACATGGTGGGATGTAGGAGACTAATCGGCCGCGATCCATGTGTACTGGCGATTCGAGGTTATTTCACGATTGCAGCAAGATTACATGTCCGATTGACCTGAATCGAGCGGCGTTCACTT